TCTGACTCGTTTTCATTTTCAAAATGATCAACGTTAAAGATCAACGATGATCACGTCCTTTTCAAAACATTACAGCACTTGTTTAGCTCGTGTTTCAAGTTTCAAAGTTTCTATAAAGTTTGCAGAAACCCTAGTTACAAATTCTTTACAATAACCCGGTTGAGCCTGTCAACTTAGTTAGCTTAGTTTTCTTTCTTTCTTGAGCTAGCTTTCTTTATCTCTAGAAAATCGCTAGAAAATTTTCAGCTAATGAATTTTAAATCCCTCTTTTATCATGATGTTATTGTCAGCTATTGCCAGCTATTGTCAGTTTTAGATCTTACAATCTCTCCATTTCAAACTCAATAAACTATTGGCTTATCAAAATTATTGAATGGCCAATGATTTCCTCGAAATCTCCCCAAATTTGACCTTGATTTGTTTTCGGGTTTCACTCGGGTTTCTTTTTTACAAAACACTCAAAATTTTGGGCAATTTCTCGGGAAAAACCAGTTTGTTTTTCACAGGTTGCAAAAATGGATCTAATCTCTAATTCATCAAAGTTTTTAGTGCAAATAGAAATAGAAAAGATGCAAAAATTCAGTAAAATTTGATTTTCAAAATGATTCTGAATTGTTGCTTTTGGTTTCAGAACGAAAGACATTTCCAAGGAGATTAATGTGCAAAGAAACGAGTTTATATAATTTATTTTGAAACTTGTCTTTTGAATATTGTTTTCAATTTAAACTGGTCTAATCCCTTTCCTAAGACGTGTTCCCTTTCCCCTTTCCACCGTAGTCTTGTCTCCATTTCCTAAACCTTGCCTCACTTTTCCCTTTCTACCGTAATCTCGCCTCTATTTTTTATAGTCAGGATTACTATTGATTACTGTAGAAGAAAGCTGCAACCGAAAAGAATACGCTAACTTTTGTTTACCTTTCATTAGATTTTTATGGTATGTACAAAAATGGTTCTTCGGCCGATTGTTCAGAAACAACTCCGGGTTATGCTGCTAATCTTGAAACTTGAGCATTTCAAAGTGACCATTTGTAGAGATTTGGTTGCAGCTTTCTTCTACGGTAATCAAAAGTAATCCTGACTATAAAAATAGAGACAAGACATAGGTTAGCATTGTGAATTGTGACTAAGCAAAAAGCACCAATCTTTTTTGGTTTTTTAAAATAAATTTTAATAAATTTTGAAACAAAAGAATTTAACAAACCCTAATTTGAGCACTGTTTGAGCACTGTATCGACTGACTGACTTAAAGGCTTAAAAAGCAAAACCAAGTAGCACTTTTAAACGCACAAAATGCCGGTGAAAGCCGGTTTCTGAAGAGCTTGCTGGGGTTCAAAGGATTATCGAGACTTCCTCACTTCCCTACTTGCCCAAAATTGAAACCTAAGCTTTTCTCTTGCTAGAATTTTTTTGTTAGTCTCACTAGCTACTAAAAAATAGCATAAGCACCAGAAAACAACCAAAAAAGATTTGTGCTTAATTCAAATGTTATTACTCAACTTATCCAGAGTTTTACTTTAATTACTTTGAAACTCGTTTTTTTAACTAAGTGATTCTCTAATCTGTCTCTTTAGCCAAAGAAAAAGTCATGTTTCAAAGAAGTTCATGTAAAAATTGGATTAGTTTTTCCACTCCTTGTTCAATTTTATTGACCTTTTAGAATTCTATAACTCTCAAACTGCAATAGAAATTCGTTAATATTAGCTTTTTAGAGGTTGTTTAAAACGCAAAAAAAGGTGCGCTAATGGGCAAGGTGCGGAAAAAAAATGTCCGGGTGCGCAAAAAAAAGGTTGCATTTGTCCCGCTCCCGTCCCATCTCGAAAGCGAACTCAACCTGCAGTTTTTTATGGCTCTTCCAAAATCTTGGATACGAGTAAATTTCCACGAAAGGGTTAAATAGCTGAAAAAGTTTGAGTTTCAATTTTCTTGATGACAAACGGGTCTCTGGGGTTTTAATTTATACTCGTTTGAGGCGGTTTGAAAAAGAGAAAAATTTGTTACCGTATTTTCTCTAATAGTATGCACTCCGGGGAGCCGAGTTGGTGACTATTTTACGGTTTCGAAGCTTTTGCAGAAGCTGAACTCAAACGCCCCACAAGATCTGATCGTCAGCTACATTTTCCGACCCCACATCAATAGATTCTGCTAAGCGGTTCTCGAGATTTTGACGAATTTAAGCAACCCTCTGGGTGCACTACTACTAGAGAAAATCCGGTATCCTTGATAAGCTGGTTTGAGGCTATGGGATTTGTAAACCAGGTGAAAGACCGGTAAGAAATACTACAGGCCCACAGTAAAGCAATGCGTATCAAGACTAGGACCTAGACCTAGGTAGACCGGTTTATAGTGGTGCAAATTGAAACTCAACCTTTTTTAGCTATTTAACCTTCGTGAAGTTGGTTGCTAAAATTGCAGGTGTAAGATATAAAATATTTTGTGATCTTTCAAATCTTGTAAACACTCTCTGGTGCACTTTATTCAAATCTGATCAAATCTAATCTCAAATCTAAGCCTTAGTAAAAGCATAATATCTTTCTGTTAATGTTCGCCTAACAACTTGTAGTGGAAGTAGATTGAAACTTGATCTTTAAAATCTTCTTCAAAGTGTACTCTGTGCTCTCACAAAGCTCATAAACACAGCTTTTATGGTGCGCTGCAATGCTTTTATCATTATGCAATCATTATGGCTCTTCCAAATAGCATAAGCACCAGAAAACAACCAAAAAAGATTTGTGCTTAATTCAAATGTTATTACTCAACTTATCCAGAGTTTTACTTTAATTACTTTGAAACTCGTTTTTTTTAACTAAGTGATTCTCTAATCTGTCTCTTTTCCCCCTTTCTACCGTAATCTTATCTCTTTTTTATTCAATCTAACCACTTTTTCTTTATTTCGAATATCGAAAGATATAAAAAGTGGATATATTGAATAAGAAATAGAAAGAAGATGAAGGTAGAAAGAGAAAGGGAATAAGCTTTAGAGATCGACAACTTTGTCTACATCGTATGGTAGCTTCAATCGATGATATGCCGATGGAGCAAAGCGGAGGCTAACTCGTTTCTTACAGCATTCAACATCAGCGTCAACAAGCCATTTAAGGAAAACCTGAAGGACTACTGAAAAGAATGGATGGCTGACAGCCAATTCACACCATCGGGGCGAAAGAAGCGCGCGAGCTACGAAAAAGTCGCTGAATGAGTGAGGAAAAGTTTCCACACGGTTCCCACTTCTTGCATTGTCAACGGATTTCGACGAGCGCTGACCGATAAAACTTAGTACTGGATTTTTTAAACGAGAAAACCCCTCTTGTTGTTGCATTCCCAGGACTGACTTTTCGGGAGTCCCTCATTTTCAAGACCTTAATATCAATCTTGCCTTACTACTTGGATTTACGATCTTCTGGACGGTCATCAGAGCCACCGCAAGCCTCGATGCGATCGACGAGTTCTTCATACCGCTCTTTGCCAGCTGTGCGATTGCGTCCCGACTAGCGCACGTCTTTGTCATGACCTAGGAAACAACTTTTTTAACGAAAAATTAATAGGCAACGACAAAAAGAATATTAAAACACAAAAAAATGAGCATTAATGCTTTATAGATTGTTTAAAACGATGCCAGATGCTGCACGCCCGTAATTTTCAGCCACCCTGTACTGTGTGTCCGGTAAAAAACGTAATCGGTTTGAGTCTAGAAAAATTTCCTCGTTGAATGTTCTAGCCACAATTTCAGTTTGTTTGTTGGACTGGCTGTTTCAGGAATAATCTGAAATATGGTTAATTTTTAAACGAGAAAACCCCTCTTGTTGTTGCATTCCCAGGACTGACTTTTCGGGAGTCCCTCATTTTCAAGACCTTAATATCAATCTTGCCTTACTACTTGGATTTGTTAGCTTTAGATGAAAAAGCATAAAACAACCGGTTATTTTGCGTATTGAGCCATAATAATGCCAAGTGAATTATTTACTTCTAACGAGAATCGGTCGCCCCTTAAAGAAATTTCAATTGTAGATGTGCAAGCGATGGCATCGCCGGTTTGCTTTTCAACTATTTCGCGGGTTTGGTCGTCGTGAACGCATTTTGTCAGTTCTTTGTCTCGATCAGGTTTGAAAAAAGTGCATCACTCTCGAAATGTGATTAGCCGTTTCTTGGCCGCTTCTTTCGATGGAATGCTCTTCAAGTATACAACAAAACACACCGTCCTCCAGTTTCTCATTTGCTATTCGGGAGCGATTTCTCTTTTCTGCGTATCATCGTTTACAAATAGTGCAATTGTGAATATGTATGTGACGCCAACTCTGACATATTTCAAGATCACAATGGACTTTTTCACTTGAGAGATTTAGCTGAATAAATCCAAAGTCTCGATGGCGGAGAGACGTTTAATGGTTCAGGTTGGATTAGATTCAGAACATTTAATGATCAATTGGGTAAATTGGTTACCTACAAATATAGTAAATATACAAATAATAATCTAAATTGCCTTCTTTTTTGCCAATACAGAGTCTGTACAAGTTTGTTTTGATCTATCAGTCTTGACTGATTAAATTGGATCTTCTGAAGATACCAAACGAGTCACAAAACGCTTTTCAGATGATCGGTAACTCAACATACTATTTTTCGAACTATTTTCTTTCAAGTCCATTGTGCAATATCCATTCTTTGGCTACTACTTATCGACGTGGCATTGCAACTGAACTCAAATGCTTCCACATGTATTTACACGCTTGGACTGAGGTTCTGCTACATTTTCTCGGTTTTAACTTTCATACCTTGCTTAGATATTTAAACATGGTCTTCCTGAAAAAGAAAAGTACAACTCAACTCAACTTCTCAATCCGTCATGAGTATAACGGTCACCAAGACGAAGAGCTCTCACTCGACACCCAAAATCTGATTTCATTTGTCGTTTTCGTGAAAAACATCTTCCAATACAATTTATTCAAGAAAATACAAGAATTGAACATAACACTCGAGATTTGCCGTTTTCGATTTGTCGTTTTTCAGCTGCAGAAGGCGGCTCCACTAATGCAGGCACCACCATTCAAATAGCCTTTTGCGAAACAACAAGTGGCGATGTTCTAAAAATGGACATTTTTGAAATTAAATGAGAAACTTGTGTCATTAATGTTAATGTTTCCAAGTAAACCCGGATCCCACCTTCTTATAATCAATCAGTAATTGCAGTAACGAGTCCGAGTTTTTCAAATTCACAATTGAACTAACCGGGCAAGATGAGTCGCATAACGGGACGGGATCAGCGTTGACCATGGAAACAGAGGCTAAAATCATGGATTTCTTTTAAATTTTGAAGCTAGACGGGCTATCTTTCTAACAAAAACTTTGAGCAATATACTACAGTTTCTTATAGACACCTTAAAAGCATTTTTTTAGTGAACCACCATCGAACCTTGCCTGTTTGAGCATTTATTTCTAACAGTAGGTACCTTTTAGAAGGGGCAGTTCTGAAAAGGCCACTCTTTAGAGCTTTAGCTTAGTAAGGTTTCATTGTATTTACACTTGAACGCACCAAAGGCGAGAAGAACGGCGAAGAGAAGAGCAAGGCAAGAGGAGAGAAGACTCATTGTTTCGGTTTGAAGTTGGGAACTGGTGCCAGATGGAGGTCTTTGTAAACTGCATTGTATTTATATGGAAGCTCGATTTGGTAAGCCTCATTATCATTATCAGGGATGAAGGAGACCACCCACCGACTCGTGACTGGTGGAAAAGAGACGAGACTCGCCGATGGATTTTTTGCCCCGAAAGGGGCAAAAAGAAAGGGGGAATGGGGGAGAGGGGAATATTCTTGTTGAAGAATTTCTCTAGAAAATAAAGAAAATAAAGCTATCGTACTCTTCCCTTTTCGTCGTTCTCTTGCAGTTCTCTTGCAGAACTAGTTCAACTAGTTATACTCCCTCATAGCATATTCCCCTCTAAGACCTCCCCCCAAGATGACAACAGGGGGAAGACCTAAAAGGGAATGGGGGAGAGGGGAATATGCTATGAGGGAGTATAAGAAGGGTAATAGATAAGGGACCATAGCCTCTCTTTTCTCTTTTACCGGCAAAATATTTGAGAGATTCGAGAGGTTTCAGAGAAAACCCGGATAAAGCCCGACTGGGAAGAATATGGGGCATTTTCTCCTTTGCTTCAAAAAATTCTATTTCATTAGTCGAGACTGGTGGGGAAAAAGGAAAGCCAGAGAAAAGGAAAAGAGACGAGATTCTCTCTCCTTGCGCTCACGAGGGTGGAGAGACGAATTCCTATGCATGCATTCCCATGAAGAAGACTAACCACCGATTATTGCAAATAATACTATTCAAATAACAGTAGACCTGTAACAGTGAGTCATAGACGTTTGTAGACTAGGGAAAAACTGTAAAAGTGAGTAGGTAGTTGAAGTTTTAGTTTTAGAGCCTTCATGTTTCACTACTTTTGTCAAACAGTGCTAAGCTGGGTGTGCCATGTTTTAGGCCATGTTCGTCTTCGCAATTCGCGGCAGCAGCTTCAAGACTTTCCGGATCCATTGTTCCTATCACCGCTTGAGGACCGAGCGGCTCATATGCGTGCTGGTAAATTTTAAATTCAATGTTTTTAGAAGAAAGATATCGGTATTAATTCAATATAGTACGTGTAGGTGAACAAAATTGAAATAGGCTGCTAGTAATTTGCTCAAACGCTCTTATTTCAGAAATGGAGTCGTTGATCGGTCGTTTCGGTGGCTTGTGTGATGAGGCGCGCGATCTGATAACGGATTTAAATAAAGACGTGAGTCGTTCAAGTCGCGCTCATCGCACTTTTATGCTTTTTTAGGTAGTGCTGAAGGCGGTCGATCAAATGATGCACAAAGACTACAGCGATTCGCTCTACAAGAGGAAGCCGTGATGATGGTGTAATAATACTTTTTTAAAGTGTGTTAACCCGTGCTTTCTAAACTCCAGGTTTTTAGGTAATATTGACACTTCTAAGCTATCTCTTCTTGTTTCTTAATATCTTTTTCTCGTTCTTTTTTCAGTTTAGTCCTTTCTCGCTTCAGCTTGCCTATTCTGATGTGATTTTTCCATTTCTCAATTTATGTATCGGTTTTTCTTGTTACATTATTATTTCTTGATTGCTTTCCCCATTCTTGCAATAATTTCTTTTAATTTTTTATTTAACGACAAGTTTGCATTCATTAACAAAAGACAAGAGAATACCCATTTGAAAGGAATTTGTAGAGTGAAAATTTGTAAGGAAATAAGGTAAACTAGTTAGCGGCTCAGGTACGGAAAGATAAAGTTTAGTGCAAAATAGGGAAGGGTACGGTAGAGTAGTAGGATTACTCTTACCAGGGTCGTTTAGCTATAACAATGTCAAATTGATGGTTAATCAGATAATTAAATGGAATTCTTGCCAAACTGGTTCTCTAACTAGTTATACTAGCGAAAATTCTTGTAAAAAAACATAAAAATCTCCAATCTAAAGACAATTTTTGAACTTTGTCGATTTCATTCGATAACCTGTTGTGACCGATTCGTTCTTCGTGCTCATGTCCATTTTCATAGACTCCACTGTCTCTTCTCTCCAAATAGCCACCTTGTCCCAATGGGAATCACTTGGGGAATTGGTGGAGGAGCGGTGAGTGGCGGTGGACGAATCTGAATGTTGAGAAATCTAAAGAATCAAAACTACGGTTCGCTCCTCGGCAAGTGAATGTGTGAATTGATTATCAATGTGAATTGATGAATTCTTTAGTTAATATTAAAAATCATTTTGCTATCATGATCCGCTTGGTAACACAATTTTTTCCTGAGTATATTTCCCGAAATTTTCTGAAATAACGGAAAAACTGCCGTAATCTCCCTTTCCTTTTGTAAAGTTGGCCAAGATCAGCCTTGCTTTGAGTACAGTGCCTAGTATTTCAAACATCAAAATTTTTTTAGTGAACCACCAAAATCAAACAAAACATCAACCGGCTCAAATGGCCTTATCTATTTTCTTCTTCGATTTTTTGCGTGGTCGTTTCGCACTGTTTTTTGTAAGTATGGATTGAAAGTATCAATTTTTTATCAAATTCTTCAATGAAGTTCTTTGGGTAGCACCAGGGTTCATTCCCACAAAAAATATAAGAAGAAACAAGGGAGTATAAGAAGGGTAATAGATAAGGGACCATAGCCTCTCTTTTACCGGCAAAATATTTGAGAGATTCGAGAGGTTTCAGAGAAAACCCGGATAAAGCCCGACTGGGAAGAATATGGGGCATTTTCTCCTTTGCTTCAAAAAATTCTATTTCATTAGTCGAGACTGGTGGGGAAAAAGGAAAGCCAGAGAAAAGGAAAAGAGACGAGATTCTCCCTCCTTGCGCTCACGAGGGTGGAGAGACGAATTCCTATGCATGCCTTCTCTTCTCCTTTCAACCTAATGAGTATGCCCCTCGACGAGAGTTATTATATCCGAGATTTTTCCCTCTTGAGAAGGGATTCTATGTGTGGAAAGGATTAGCCGGGATGGAATTCTGCGTTGATTAAGAATATTGGGATGTGCGGATTTAGTTCTGCAAGAGAACTACATCTTGAACTAGTTCTGCAAGAGAACTGCTTTTGATTGAAAAAAGGCTTTCTATTTTCTATTTCTAGGATTGAAAAAAGGAAAAAAATGCTTAAAAACTAGTTTAGCGCTATTGTTTAACAATTATTTTTATAGAAAATCTAATTTTTAAAAAACTACTTTCAATTTTCGTTATTTTATTCACACAGATTTGAAACATCACTCTGAAATTAGGATTGTTTAATGATTTGCCATAAAAAAAGCTGAAAACTGAAAAAAGAATTGAATGCTCGGATGGGGCTGCTTCACCGAGATAAGTCTTTGTCGGTGCATAAGTACCTTTAAAAGCTTTCTAAAGTTTTCGCTTTGAAACAAGACATAAAACGAATTCTTTGGATCATAAAGGGTGTCATAAGCATGAAAAAAGAATAAATATTCTGATTTTTATTAGAATCAAAGTCAATTGTATTTTCCAAAAATCTAGAAATTTTCCAGAGCTCAAGCATCAAAAAATCTCTTTCCTTTTTTTCAAAGTCTTGTCGCAATGTTATGTTATGTTATATGCGGTTATGATCATCTGATTAGTTTCTATTCGTTCCCCTGAATAAAGCAAAACATAGCATAGCATAGCAAAGCAAAGCAAGCATATTATTTATACAGGGTGGCTGACAATTACGTGCGCGCAGCATCAGCATCATAGTTTTAAACAATCTATAAAATTGTATTTATATGGAAGCTCGATTTGGTAAGCCTCTCGACCTTCACGGCCCCAAACAGCAAAAACCCGGATTTAGGGGATCGAAAAAGACGTCAGCTGAGAACTCACAAGGGGCGATCGTTGAAGAACTTGTGTCGAGATGAAACTGGCGACTCGTCTCATCATTCTCAATTGCTATTCAAAGTTTGCTCAACACGGAAACGTGGTTCAAATTGAGAAGGTAGGTGAATGGGGAATAGTCGCACCTTCAAATAAGTTGGCTACTGTAAATGTTTACATAAATATTAATTGATCTATATTTCGATCTTAGAAGTACGGAAAGCACGTCACCGAGTGGATGTACCAGAATGCGCGTCACTTGCTCTCATCCGTTGATGATGCCAATTGTCAGGTGAGTTCTCATTATCAGTTAAGCTTTAAGTCAAGCATACATTTGCTCAATGGTTCCTTTTAGATGGTTGTTCACGCCGCGGAAGCGCTTCTCGTCAACGCCACCGCTCTGACTGATTTGCCCACCGAGGTGTGCCTCTTGCTTCGGTTAAGAGGGGAGAAGACTCATTGTTTCGGTTTGAAGTTGGGAACTGGTGCCAGATGGAGGTCTTTGTAAACTGCATTGTATTTATATGGAAGCTCGATTTGGTAAGCCTCTCGACGTTCACGGCCCAAAACAGCAAAAACCCGGATTTAGGGGATCGAAAAAAACGTCAGCTGAGAACTCACAAGGGGCGATCGTTGAAGAACTAATCACATTGAAATTTAAATTTTTAATTTTAATTCGAATAATTGCAAGACAATTCTTGTGCAAGACACAAAGACACAGACTTTTTCAGATTCTGTTCCTTGAATCAAAATCTCAAAAAAAGCAAAGCTTGAAAGCCTTTGCAAGCTTGAAACTAAGCTTCTTTAAAATTTAATTTGCCTGGTTGTTAATCTATTTCAGTTTTTGATCTAAATTTGGTTTTTTTGAGAAAAACTCGGTCATTTTCTCTGTTTCTCTTTTTGTGTTCTTCATTTCCCCTCGAAAAACATATGCATTCATTGGGGGAGTTTCGCACATTGTTATTATATGGGTAACAAGGTCAAATCCGTTGTTGTGCAGAAGGGGAAAGGGGAAAGGCCAAAATGGAGTGAGAGGAAATGGAAATGCCCGGATTTCAATGTCTATTTCAAAATTTTGAATTACTCGCCTGCCGTACTCGTCTGTTTTTTAAGTACAACAGCTGGGGTACTTAACTCTAGTAAACTAAAAGCTACGGTACTCGATGAGCTACTGTACTCGTCTGTCTACGGTCTTTAAAGTACGGTAATTCTCCTATGTCATCGATTTGGTCTGAAAACTCATCTGCTCAACTCTTTTATTTTAATATTGCACTCTCATTTCATGTTTACGCAGTTTCCTTTAGCCCCAAGGGGATGTTTGTTTTGTGTGTGGCTGAGGGTAAAAGCGCATAGATAAGCAACTAGTTTCAAGTTAAACGCCTCTCCTTTGCATCTTTTACTAAATAAATTCATAAGTAAGCTTGAAAAATCCTTCTCGGCAGGACTATTTCAATTATTTAAGTTTCAAGTTATTTAAGGTCAAACATTATGGCTTAGCTTTAATGGAGGTTTAGGGGTTTTGCAAGCGTAAAGTAACTCGTTTTACAAGCGGTTTTACAAGTAACTAGCGTTTATTAACAAGCGTTAAGCTGGTGGATTACGGTCGTTTTGATACTTACCTAGAATTTTTCAGGAGCCACGAAACGGTGCGGGCTCAGCGGTAACGATGTCAATGTCAAATTGATGGTTAATCAGATAATTAAATGGAATTCTTGCCAAACTGGTTCTCTAACTAGTTATACTAGCGAAAATTCTTGTAAAAAAACATAAAAATCTCCAATCTAAAGACAATTTTTGAACTTTGTCGATTTCATTCGATAACCTGTTGTGACCGATTCGTTCTTCGTGCTCAAAGACTACAGCGAATCGCTGTAGTCTTTGTGCATCATTTGATCGACCGCCTTCAGCACTACCTAAAAAACATAAAAGTGCGATGAGCGCGACTTGAACGACTCACGTCTTTATTTAAATCCGTTATCAGATCGCGCGCCTCATCACACAAGCCACCGAAACGACCGATCAACGACTCCATTTCTGAAATAAGAGCGTTTGAGCAAATTACTAGCAGCCTATTTCAATTTTGTTCACCTACACGTACTATATTGAATTAATACCGATATCTTTCTTCTAAAAACATTGAATTTAAAATTTACCAGCACGCATATGAGCCGCTCGGTCCTCAAGCGGTGATAGGAACAATGGATCCGGAAAGTCTTGAAGCTGCTGCCGCGAATTGCGAAGACGAACATGGCCTAAAATGAAAGATGGCCTATAAGAACAATTAAAGCCACACCCAGCTTAGCACTGTTTGACAAAAGTAGTGAAACATGAAGGCTCTAAAACTAAAACTTCAACTACCTACTCACTTTGAATCTTGTTTGCTTGTCTGCGTCGTTGTTCAATCCTCTTTTCTTTTTCTTTTTGTTCCTCATAGGCGTCGAGTTCCAGAAAATACGAATCTGCTAAAAAGCTTAAATTTTAGACCTTAAGCCTCAACACAACTTGTTTTTGCTTTGAATTTCGGCAGGACCCGAGGTGTGGGTTGAAAGTCGCGTAAGTTCAATGGTAATGGAACATCTAAAGGGCTACATTTAAATTAAGTCAACCGAGAGCAATACCTTTATCCTCGTACAAATCTTCTCGGGGAAGCCTCCAGTCGTATTCTGGCAACGCCAAGTCTTCATAAACGCGTTTTCTTGGCTTCACTAAAAAAGATATTGTTTGACAGCGATCAAACATTAACCTAGTGTCCGAAGGGGTTTCTGATTCCTCTTTGACAAAGAAGAGAGTGGTTGTTCCCCTTCTTCGGCGCCAATTTTCAGATCGTCCACGACCAACCAAGGAGATGACGATGAAATGGATGTATCATTCTCGAAAAGTGGTGACGTGTTCCGACTGCTTGTTCTGGGCGTGAGAGCGCCTAATGACGTTTCCTAAATATTAACAAAAACTTAGCTGCTAGGTCTCTGACAATACTATTTTATCTACCCGATACAACGCTATTTTAGAATAAAATCTTTATACGCAATTCCTAGGCAAAACATACCATTTCTTTCTTCCCTCTTCCTCCTGATTGCAAATTCTTTCCATCATTCTTGTCTACGTTCCTCGGGGTCGAGATGCGACTGGTTGAAGCTTTAGGTCTCTGCAAAAAATAGCATAAACTTAAATTGAGTCTCGGTATTTAAGTTGCTTAAAAACTACCTTAACCTCCTCGTCAGATGATGAAAACAAGTCGATTACACTCAAATCCTGCCATGCCCTTTTGCGCAACGGTCGTCCCTCATATGTTGGCTGCGCGAGTGTCAAGTCGAGCGCTTCCATGTTCACTAAAAGTTTCATTATTTAGAAACTAAAACAAAAGTAAATACTTTTTAGTACCTGGTTCAAGTTGTTTCCTCGGCCGACCGCGCTTCTTTGGGACTTTATTCTAAAAGAATTTCTGAAGAGACAAAAACATTCTTCTACCTCAGGAATCTTTTCCTTTCTAGGTCGACCACGAGGACGTCCGATGCGTGCGCTTAGAGTTGATGATGCGCTAGAAGATCCTTGAGATTCCTTTACCATTTCATCTGCAATATGAAAGTAAAGGAATTTAGTGATAAATCGAACCTTTTTTCAGCTGTCTTTTGTCATTCTTTTGCCCCTTCGATGAATCGATCCAAACCACATCGTTCTCATCCTCATTCGCGTCAATTCTCACGAAGATCGGCCCTAAAAGCCGAATTGGTAAATTAAATATTTTTGACTAGCTACCGGCATTTTCTGGTTCTTCCGGTCCACCAAGAAAAATTACATCGTCATCATCGTCAAACGGGAAGGTTGAAGCTACAACACCAAATTCACTCAGGAACTATTGAATCCGTTAATGAAGCCCATTAAATAAGGTGATAAATTTGAGTAAAGTTAAGATTTGGTCATTATAGCTTTATGCGAAGTCTAGCACCAAGAGAATCTTTATGATAATCTATAAGACTCGTCACAGATCCTATAGAATCTAGCCCTTTTTCCGTTTGAATTATATCACAGAGATAACTGACGGTCTTTATCATTTGCAAGCTGTCGAGCGACCCGAGTGAAACCATCGTCATCATTCTCCGGTCGGCGATTTTCCTCATTGCTGCCGCGCCTTGGTAAGCTGTTTCTTGTTGATTGAGGTGGCGGCGATTGGCTAAAAATAAACTACATATTACAGTTTAAAGAGCTTAATGAACATCTTTGCTAGATTTATCGTATTTTAGGATTTTCACGCAAAAATGACTCCTTTTTAGATCAAACTTTAGTTAAATCTTCTCAGTAACACAAAGTTTAAAAAACCGAACCTTGGTATCGCATCCAGTAATTTCTTTTCACACGCCGTTATACTCATTCCGATGCTTTCTAAAAAATAAAACCCATGAAAGATTTAGAAAGGTTTAAAAATAACAAAGAGAAAAAACAAAGCGATTCTCAATAAAATGTTCGGTTATTAGGTAGGTGCATAAATTTTTACAATTTTCCAAACGTCTTTTAAAAATAATGGCTCCACCAATAAAATGAACTATTAAAAAGATTGGCCACTTTTTAGTGACCAGCCTTTAGACAAGTTTTTAATGGGTTAATGAATAGGCAATGGGCCCCATTCAAAGCCTAAAATGAAGTACTTAAAATAGGAAAAATTTGTGATTAAGGCAAATTTGATCTAATGCTTTTAACTTTCCAGAATCACCTATTTTAGTAAACACTTAGTGTCAAGCAGGTGTCACCAAAAAAGATGCTTTTTTGAAATACAGCTTCTCTGTAAAAAAATTTTTGGCGAGAAATAGAGATTATAGAGGTATTGTTAGCTTTACATTTGTACTAGCTTTACCTCAGAAAGAAATGGTTTTTCTAGTGCAAAAAGTGAGCTGAATTAAGCTGGAAAATAGGGGGTGGGACAAATGCGACCTTTTTTTTGCGCGCCTGGACATTTGCGCACCTTTTTTTGCTTATTTCCTTACAAATTTTCACTCTACAAATTCCTTTCAAATGGGTATTCTCTTGTTAATGAATGCAAACTTGTCGTTAAGTCCTGCCTCAGTCTTATTCGAGCATAATTTTTTAGCAATTTCTAGAAGAAATTTGCATTTTTAACAGTTTCAATGGCGCTACTTTTCTAGAAAGACCTCGAGATTCTCTCTCACTGAATCATTCCGTTCACCAAATGACAACCACCCTGGTTCATGAAACTGGTTCATGAAACTTCGCTACACTGTACAAGTTTTTGTTTAGTATGTTGTTCCGCCGACATCTGTGTGGCCGTCCTCTACACATCTCCCGGTCGATGATGGTGGACGATCAGAGTACACCGCTAGTTCCTGTAGCCACTGGGTTTCCAAGCAATCTTTTTGGTTATTCTGAAGCGCACGCTTGCTGTCGTATGAGTTTAGAAACCCAAAATTCACCACTCTCTCTAACAGTTTCAGACCTGTTTCCAAAGCCTGCCCCCATTCTAGACTCAACTAGTCAGTAAACGACTTTTTGCCTATCCTGGAACGCATTCTTGCTGTTCACAAGTTTAGAAGCTCGAAATTTGCCACTTTATCCAGCCGCACCTAAAAGGTGTCCTTTCTACCATAATATTGCCTCTATTTTCATCCAATCTTTTAACAAATCCAAAATTTTTGCGTCAACATTCCTGTTGGCAACCAGAACAAACAGAAAAATATATTTTGGCCATCAAAATTTTTTGATAAATTCCTTCTTTTGGCCTCAGTCTTATTCGAGCATAATTTTCTAGCAATTTCTAGAAGAAATTTGCATTTTTAACAGTTTCAATGGCGCTACTTTTCTAGAAAGACCTCGAGATTCTCTCTCACTGAATCATTCCGTTCACCAAATGACAACCACCCTTACTGAGATCTAATTTTCAAATCCTGAATCTGTAAAATCTATAAAAACTACTCTTTTCAGCAATCTGGAACTACGCTTTTCAGCACTCAAAACTACTCTTTTCAGCAATGCACTCGAGTCTTTCTTTCATGTTAATTTACTCTGAAAGGCAATCTAAAATTTTGCAGAGGTCCCGGCCTTCTCGACCCCTCTCGACCGCCCTGCCCATCGATGGCCCATCTTATTCAGCGGATCATGGGGTAAGTGGAAAACGGGGAAAACGATTCGATCTTTGCTTGCAAACTAAACAAAACCACTCTAACCACAAATAAAAACTCTAATGGTATTTTTCTAGGCCGTGAATGGTGGCTGGACAAATCGAGTGGTGCAAGATGAGGGAATATCGGAGGAAGGGATTGACGCATTGGAGAGGATAAAAGACGAAATGGGAATATTGCTGAAAACAGGCGAATACTCACAATTCGAGCTGGTCGGGAGTGGAGTGCAGAGAAAGGTGCGGGAAAGGAAATATGGAGAAAATTAAAACCATCGAAATTCAGGTTGACCGACTGACTCTCGGCGTGCAAAAAGTTTGCGGTCAATACCAAGATGCCAGCCGAACAATACCAAGAAGGCTCCTCCCGTTCCCTCGATTCGACAAACTTTGGGCGATTTTTGCGATAGATTAAAGCAAAGCAAGCATAGCTTAAAGCCAAATAGGCAACGGATGAAGTTTTACAGTTTTTCCCTAGTCTACAAACGTCTATGACTCACTGTTACAGGTCTACTGTTATTTGAATAGTATTATTTGCAATAATATCGTCTATTAGTTGTAAATAATGTTTAGCAGATTTTTAGACTTAAAAAGCTTTCTTTCTTCCCAACATTCAGATTCGTCCACCGCCACTCACCGCTCCTCCACCAATTCCCCAAGTGATTCCCATTGGGACAAGGTGGCTATTTGGAGAGAAGAGACAGTGGAGTCTATGAAAATGGACATGAGCACGAAGAACGAATCGGTCACAACAGGTTATCGAATGAAATCGACAAAGTTCAAAAATTGTCTTTAGATTGGAGATTTTTATGTTTTTTTACAAGAATTTTCGCTAGTATAACTAGTTAGAGAACCAGTTTGGCAAGAATTCCATTTAATTATCTGATTAACCATCAATTTGACATTGTTATAGCTAAACGACCCTGGTAAGAGTAATCCTACTACTCTACCGTACCCTTCCCTATTTTGCACTAAACTTTATCTTTCCGTACCTGAGCCGCTAACTAGTTTACCTTATTTCCTTACAAATTTTCACTCTACAAATTCCTTTCAAATGGGTATTCTCTTGTCTTTGTTAATGAATGCAAACTTGTCGTTAAATAAAAAATTAAAAGAAATTATTGCAAGAATGGGGAAAGCAATCAAGAAATAATAATGTAACAAGAAAAACCGATACATAAATTGAGAAATGGAAAAATCACATCAGAATAGGCAAGCTGAAGCGAGAAAGGACTAAACTGAAAAAAGAACGAGAAAAAGATATTAAGAAACAGAAGAGATAGCTTAGAAGTGTCAATATTACCTAAAAACCTGGAGTTTAGAAAGCACGGGTTAACACACTTTAAAAAGTATTATTACACCATCATCACGGCTTCCTCTTGTAGAGCGAATCGCTGTAGTCTTTGTGCATCATTTGATCGACCGCCTTCAGCACTACCTAAAAAGCATAAAGTGCGATGAGCGCGACTTGAACGACTCACGTCTTTATTTAAATCCGTTATCAGATCGCGCGCCTCATCACACAAGCCACCGAAACGACCGATCAACGACTCCATTTCTGAAATAAGAGCGTTTGAGCAAATTACTAGCAGCCTATTTCAATTTTGTTCACCTACACGTACTATATTGAATTAATACCGATATCTTTCTTCTAAAAACATTGAATTTAAAATTTACCAGCACGCATATGAGCCGCTCGGTCCTCAAGGGTGATAGAACAATGGATCCGGAAAGTCTTGAAGCTGCTGCCGCGAATTGCGAAGACGAACATGGCTTAAAACATGGCACAACCTAGCTTAGCACTGTTTGACAAAAGTAGTGAAACATGAAGGCTCTAAAACTAAAACTTCAACTACCTACTCACTTTTACAGTTTTTCCCTAGTCTACAAACGTCTATGACTCACTGTTACAGGTCTACTGTTATTTGAATAGTATTATTTGCAATAATCGGTGGTTAGTCTTCTTCATGGGAATGCATGCATAGGAATTCGTCTCTCCACCCTCGTGAGCGCAAGGAGAGAGAATCTCGTCTCTTTTCCTTCTCTGGCTTTCCTTTTCCCCACCAGTCTCGACTAATGAAATAGAATTTTTTTGAAGCAAAGGGAGAAAATGCCCCATATTCTTCCAGTCGGGCTTTTATCCGGGTTTTCTCTGAAACCTCTCGAATCTCTCAAATATTTTGCCGGTAAAAGAGAAAAGAGAGGCTATGGTCCCTTATCTATTACCCTTCTTATACTCCCTCATAGCATATTCCCCTCTCCCCCATTCCCTTTTAGGTCTTCCCCTGTTGTCATCTTGGGGGGAGGTCTTAGAGGGGAATATGCTATGAGGGGAGTATAACTAGTTGAACTAGTTCTGCAAGAGAACTGCAAGAGAACGACGAAAAGGGAAGAGTACGATAGCTTTATTTTCTTTATTTTCTGGAGAAATTCTTCAACAAGAATATTCCCCTCTCTCCCATTCCCCCTTTCTTTTTGCCAGTTTACATAGAATCAAATCTTGAAACTGTCAAAAAGCTTTCAATTTCAATGCTAATTCAAATTTAATCTTTTTTAGAGCTCATGCCCGTTGTGCAATCGAAAAGAAGCCGTTCAATGCTTCAAGGGCTCGAATTCGCTGGTTGAGTCTGAACAATATTCGAAAGTGTCTCAAACGGATTCGATTGGTTTGCAGATGGTTTAGATGTAAAATTGTTTTGTAAAATTGTGACAAAAAGCCTTCTTTTCACTTACACGAACTTCATGTTTCAAATGATAATGAATGGTGAAACAGGTGGCTTCTTCTTCTTCAAAGGATGGTGAGCTCATTTTCTAGCAAGAAAACTGTCAAAAATTTGTTTTTGAATAATCTGGGCCGAAAATTTGCTGATTTGAAGAATGTGAAGCTTAAATAGCTTTTGGAAACAGCAATCCGTAGCAACTAGCAGATATTGAGGACTAGAATACTGCTATAATTAATACTGCTATGCCCCGTGACTCCCCAGAGAGGGTTAAAAAACTCTGTTTCAAATTTGTAAATATAAAATCCAAAAATAAACAACCCAATTCAGCAGATTTTAGGAAATTTTTGCTCTTTTTCGATCTTTTTTTGTGAATTCATCAACTTTTCTCTTCTTTTAAGAATCTTTTACTCTCGAAAAGAAAAGAAAAAATTCTGGAGATTCATTGGTTTGAAGAATCTGCGTAGTATTGTTTAAAAAGCAACCAATTGGAAATAAAAACCTTCAGCAATAACTTGCAAAGTT